TGTTGACAGAGCAGAACCAGAGGGTGGAATGTGTAGCAATGATCGACACATTTCCCTGGTCCCCGCTTTCACAGACGATCAGCACTAGGCTAGCTTCCATGCAGGAAGATGTAAATTCGCAACGTCGACATCTTAAGGTTCGTGAAGGACGTTGTCCTAGCACCACTGACCCTAATCCAATTTCTTTTACTGGGTTGAGAGATTTTTTAAGAAGTGGGTCAGATTACTATTCATATAATATAAAGAAAGCACTGTGTATATTTATATGCACGAAGCACTGAAAGTCTAACACTTGACCACTTTCCAACATTTTGCGAAAATATATGGCATGTTGCTTCTTTCGCTGATACTGGTTGTAGCTGAACAAATATCCGGTGGTTCTCGAACGTTTCTTGATTGAAGTGATGAAGTAGATATATCTATTTTTATGATTGCAGCTTCAATTCGAAAACTTCATGCAGAAGCTAGCGTTAGATTCCCTTAAGATGGGAGCTGATGAATACCGACAGCTGAGAGAGGAGCACAACGAAGACGGGGCCCTAGATGAACTACAGAGAAGGAGCCTCGAGAAAGGACTCACCAGCTATAATTTGAAAGCCCTCCGAGAGTCCCTTCTGAGGGATCAAACTATTGCAAGCAGAACACACCACGAATGGCAGCCTCCTGAGGTAAGAGACATATTTTGTAGAATTGTAATCACAGAAGAAAGAGATACAACAAGCTCTCGTGAGATTTATAAACCATTTTGAACCAGCGATTTCCAAAGGAAGTGACAGAATGAAATTACAAACTAATATTTTCACTTACTGAGAATAAGGCAGAAGGTTTAATCTTTCTAGAGATATTTGTATGGATATAGATATTTTTCCACTTCACGTCCGCCACGGCTAGCTTATGCTAACTGCGGGTTGTTCAAAATCTATTCTCTAGCTTATTGTTTGTTTTCTCTGACATTATTCCGTGGGATGCCTGTGGCAGGCCACGGTAAGGTTTTTTCATCGTCGACGGAAATCGACAAATTTGATTGACAATGAAATGCACGTCACAGCTGGAACTATTTTTATTGGGTTATTCTTGGAAGCACATCCAAGATGACATGACTTTGACAGGAGTAAAAGTAATGTAATTTCGAAAGATTCTGCGATTCTGACAAAGAGTAGCTTGTGTAGACAGTGTAGTGTTCGTAGCAACGTGTACGTGTTCAGGAAATAAACAGAAGGTAAGACATTTTAGAAATGTTTCGACTTTGTATATTGAATTGAACTGTGAAAATTGCATAGAGTTCGCGGATCATCCGTCCCATGTTACGCATCGAACCAACGTTCAGCAACCGAACCTGCGTGTTCATCCGGCCTACGTGCCTAACGCTTAGTCTAAACAAGAAGTTTGGAGCAACCTGACACACGATGTTCATTCGACCAGTACTCAAGGAGTCCATCAATGCACGGAAAGCATCGACACCAACCGTTTCAAAAATTCGCTCAAATAATTGTTGGTTTGCAATTGAAGATATTTAAGCCTCGAGAGTTTTACTCTATCGAAACTTTCGCAGTTCAATCCATGAGTCGACAGTCATGCTACGTGCATGTTTGAGGTTTTGTGTATTGTTGCTGACATTGAGCTTACGTGTTTACCAGAACGCGCATGTAAATAGTGTTTGCGAGAAGGATTATTCCAGTCGATGTTTAGTTTATTTTCAGTGTTCCACTGTTAACATTTATAAATACAAAGGGAAATATTTGTTAAGAAGAATTCCTCATGCTACTCATGGAAGCTTTAATCCTTTCGTTATCTCGAATAAACAAGCACACATTATCAACCAGTTGCGTTACGTTGCGTTACGTTTTTCTCTCACACAAGAGACAATCAATACTCTTGTTAACGTGCTTCAGTTCTTCTCTCACAGAAAAGAGCTTACTTTAGCCTTTTAATTTTTTAGTAGATTCGTTACGTTCATTGACGGCAATACAGCCCTTCACAATATTTTAGTCTTTGAATAATGAAAATGTTGCGTTACCATTCATGTCTCAAAGATCCCCCGGCAGTTCTCAACGTAAGTGATATGGCCTCATTAGAGAAAAAAGCAAATTCCATTTTCCAAGTTGCAATATTACTTCAGCCATTTTTGATGCCATTTCTAAACACCATGCACACTCTCGTTCCACGTTTTAGATCACCCGGAAAGAAGAAATAGGAGCCGGGGAAGGAGGCTCTTCTCGCACAGTAATTTTCCGCCTACCCTATTTTCCACTACAAACACAGTGACGGTTTCTTCAAGA